TGGAGGTGGAAGGGAATTTATGGGGTTTCTTTGGAGAGAGCTACTGCAGCCCGTCCCATCACCTTGGGGAGTGGCAGAGGAACTATCTCCTTGACCTCAAACTTAAAGAGCGGGATCCAACGATAAAACTCAGAGACAGGTTGACATGCACTTGCTGCAGAAAGCATGCAAGTTCAAGGGTCCTAGCAGGGTAGTCAGCACAGTGGAGGGATGTGGGTGGGAGTATAACTCCACTCTCATTAATGGTGGGGCAAGGACATGGGAAAGAGGCTTATGTGGACCCACGTAAAGCCCTTCTCATCCCAGGAGGGCTGCCTGGGAGAGGAAGGGGATCCCACTGGTGAGAGTCAGTGTTGAAAAGGCCTGCCAGATAACCAGGGCCAGGGGGGCAGCCCGCTGGCGAAGGGGCCCAGGAGCAGCAGTTGGAGGAGCCCAGCGGGGGCCTCCAGAGGCCCTGGCAGTGCCCACAAAGTAGTCACTTGAGAAAATCTGTTGGGCCTGCAGGCCTCAGAGCCAACTCAGGATGGTAGCAGGCTCCAGCTAAGCGACCACCACCCTTTCCGCACACCATCCTCCTCCACCACCCTGCAGCCCCCAGCCTGCTCTTGACCAAACATGACAGTGTGGATTAATCTGTTAGGCTGCACATTCTTCATGTCTGAGTTTCCATCTGGTCTTTTGCCCACTGGCAGGGAGAAAGCTTCACCCCTGAGTCGAGGCTAAAGGAACAATAGGTGACAGGGAAGTTTCATTATGATTACATCCCAGTGTCCTCCTTGCTCAGCATGCTGGTTACATGCATGTTTCCTACTAAGTTCTTTAGTTTTTATGTCTGACCACCTGGTGTTTCAAACGTGGCGCCTGCATCTTCTTTCACCTGCCACACTATCTGACGCTTGACTGGGGAGTTAACACTGGGCAAGCAGGGAATCTGGCAGAGCTGGGGGCGGGGGACTGGATGTGGCCCCCCTCTCCTGCTGTGGTAGACGGGCTGTCTCACCAGCTGCGGTGTGTACCCAGTGTACCGACTGTTCTTACTTTGGGTCCATGTTGTTTATCATTCTTTAAGGGAGGAGCCAACCCACTGAATTTCCACAAACTTTGCTCATTCCAAGGAGTTAAATGTAACAACAGTGCTGTTTTCAGAGGAGCACTGTAAATATCTTATTTCAATGACATCTGCTGGACACTCAGTGAAGCACCATATGTGTGATTTTCAAAGTGTATTTTGCCAACTATTATTTTATTTACTTTATTATGTTTTCAAGCACAGATTTCAAACTTGGGAGATGTACAAAAAGATTAAACACACATCTCTAATTATTAGGAACTCAGCAAGTATAATATGGGTGATATAAACCAACAAATAAACCGTCATAAAATTTAACTTTTAAATCATTTAAAATTGTACAATTTAGGGGCATTAGTACATTCACAATGCTGTGAAACCATCACCACTATCTAGTTCTAGAAAATTTTCATCACCCCAGAAACTCTGTAACCATAATGCAGTCGCTCTTCATTCCCGTTTCAGTAAATTAAGTCATTTATCATCTGTCACTTTAAAAAAGCCTGGGTTGAGGATCTTTTCCATAGGTCAGGCTGATACCCAGGGGAAAAAAATCATAACATCTTCCAAGAAATCCACGGAAATAACTGTATTGTCAATGTCACATATGTGAAGACTGCTTAAAAAAGTATGCTTTGACCCATCAAGGTCATGTGACTTTTCTGTACTTTTTTTTTTGGCCACATTGTGAGGCTTGCAGGATCTTTGTTCCCTGACCAGGGATTGAACCCAGGCCCCAGCGGTGAAAGCACCAAGCCCTAACCACTGGACCGCCAGGGAATCCCCTATACTGTTAAACTTCATTGTAAAAGTATAAATTGAATGTACTGCACTCAAAAGGATTTTATTATAAAGAAATCTGAGTTTATGTCTTAGAAGTGATCAAAGGAACAGAGCTGCCAAACGAAATAAATATCTATGTACAAGCAATGTTGAAAATTCAGAAACACAGAACATAAGGAGACCCACCATGATGATGAAAGTCAGAGAAGGAATGCTGTATACAAGAATACAGAGAATAAGGAAGTTGGGGAAAAGATCTTAAGAAATAAGCTGCATATATAATTTAAACAAAAAGGCTGTGGGCATGCTGTACATCTCCACTTCAAATGAGCAGCCTTTCTCAAGCTGCGGGTAGTGACTATGAGGCACAGGCACTTGACCTACATTGAACACAGACTAGAAGAGAACAGCTTCCACAATAAAGGCAAAAGAAGGAAGTACCCATCTAATATTGCTTCTACCCCAAACCCAATGGAAACTGTCATAAAGGAATTTAAACACACACACCAGGAAAACAGGCGCTGACAACAAAACTGTGGAAGCCAGAAAGCATATGGACGAGTGGCAAAGGAGTTAGTAGATTCAAGAAAGCTGAGTCTAGACCAGCTTTTCTAAACGCTGAGAAATCATGAGGTGCACAGTGACTCCTCCAAAGATTCAGGCACTGATACCACCAGATGCCTCAGTCATGAAGGAGAAGAGGGAGCTGAGATAAGGAGGATGGGGTAAAAGGTGTTCCAAATACAAACGGAGGGAATTCCCTGGCGGTCCAGCAGTTAGGACTCGGTGCTCTCACTGCCGGGGCCTCAGGTTCGATCCCTGGTTGGGGAACTAAGATCCCGAAAGCCGCACGGCATGGCCAAAAGAAAAAAGAAAAAGAAAGAAAACATGCAAATACAAATAGATCCCTTGACCCCTGCCCCCTCCAACCTGAAGTCCTCATTCAACAGAAGTCACAATGCTTCTATGGAAAGAGTAAAACAGAGGGTCTCTAGACCGGGAGAGAGCACACACAACTGAGCTCAGGTACAAGAGGAACAGGGATTAAGTGACCACATGCCTCTCCCCCCACCACACCCCTCCTTCCCAGTCAGCTCCCAGGTGCTGACATCAGACCTCTACCCTCAGTCAGGAGTCAGAGATTCTTCGCTAGGGAGCTAGACCAAGAGGAAAGACCTTCAGACACTGACCCCAGAGGTTCTTCATATAACTGCCTACCCAGATACCCTATAGAAAAGGAACTTCTGAGTTTACAAGACCCAGCCACTCTTGCAGAGCTTCCAATCAGCATTTCCATCCTTTCTCTTGTGATAAACACGGTTTACTGGGCATTTAAGGAAAGCCTCTAAGGTGAACAAATAGACCCAAATAAACAGATCAGAGCAACATGGAAGATACAGTGGATTCCGTGGATTCTTCAAAAACTTTAAAAAAATTTGAGAGGTAATATTCCACTCAAAACAAAAATGAATGTTAATCAGGGTCCGCATGCCACAGCTACTGAGCCCACGTGCTGCAACTACTGAAGCCCTCACGCCTAGAGCCCGTGCTCCACAACAAGAAGTCGCCGCAATGAGAAGCCTGCGCACTGCAACAAAGAGTATGCCCTCTCGCCACAACTAGAGAAAGCCCGCACGCAACGAAGACCCAACACAGCCAAAAAAAAAAAAAGACCATTAAGAAGGAACATTTATGTAAATCAACTATACTCCAATAAAATTTTTTAGGGCATCCCTGGTGGCGCAGTGGTTGAGAGTCCGCCTCCCGATGCAGCGGACACGGGTTCGTGCCCCGGTCTGGGAAGATCCCACATGCCGCGGAGTGGCGGGGCCCGTGAGCCATGGCCGCTGAGCCTGCGCGTCCGGAGCCTGTGCTCCGCAACGGGAGAGGCCACAACAGTGAGAGGCCCGTGTATCGAAAAAAAAAAAAAATTTTTTTTTTTAAAAAGGGAAGGAACACTTAGAAAATCGAAGAAACTTGGATATTGAAATACATGATGCCAGGCAGGAAAGAAAATTCAATAGGATTGAAAGGTAAAGTTGAAGAAACCTTCCAAAAAGCATTATAGAACAAAATAAGAGATGGAAAAATAGGAGAGAAAAGAAAAGAAAGTAGGTCAGTAGAGGAGGTCCAACATCCGAATAGTAGGAGTTCCAGAAAAAGGAAGCAGGAAACACAGTGGTGAAGCAATTATCAATTAAGTAATTACATTTTTCCAGGACATAAGGTTTTGTTTGGAAAGGTTCAAGAGTGCCAAGAGTAGAGGATGAAAGCATAACAAGATACATCATTATGGACCACAGGGGAAAAACCAAAGTTCTAAGAGCTTCAAGAGAAAAAGAAAATTGTCACTTAAAATGGCTGCTAGACCACAGAGCAATGCCTTTGAAATTCTGAATGACATCCAACTACATGCTGTTAAACTATCAATGATGGGAGAAGAGAATAAAGGCATTTTCAGACACTTAAGATCTGAATATTTTTCTCTCTCACATTTATAGGGAAACTACTCAGGATGCCTGCCACCAAAGGGGGAACAAATCAAAAAAGGGAATACACAGGGCACAGGACATCCAACCTAAGAGGCAAAGGGAAACTCCAGGATGGTGATATGTACCAGAAGAGGGCAATCAGACTGGGGCAGAAGCAAGGGCTTCACAGCTGTACTGACCTCAAAGTAAACAACTGGCCCAGTGAAAGCCAATGGAACCATCACCTTTATCAACAACAGTGGATGGCTGAGATCAAAGATGTATGCTCCTAACATGAACGACTCACAGAAGCTTCATAACTTTTTAAATCAGTTTCTTAGCAAGATCATTGCCTCCTAAAACTGAAAAGCAGGAATAAAAACCTGCCTGAATCAGAGGAATTCTATATACTCATACCTACCTATATATGCAGATACACAGGAACTGCTGACAGCAGAGGCCTTTAGGGCAGGCGGGTTGCTGGAAAAGAGATGAGACGGACTTTTTGCTATTCACGTTTTCATTCTTTGACTTGTGTACCACAAATACTTGTACAAGTACCACAAGTACTTGTTCAAAAATGAAAAAAATATATTCCCCAATTTAAAAAATGATGGAATGAAAACAACCTGAGCATCATGCATAGCAAGGAAGTAGTTTTGTTTGTTAAATATATATTTAATATACACACGCTGATATTAACTAAATGTTCACTATAAATGTGTTTAATGGGTTGTGACAGAAAATGTTTCCTATTGTGGGTTGCCAAGAAATCTGAAAGTGCTAAACCAAGTCCCTCTGTAACTAAGAAAACTGTCTTTCCTACAATATTCACACTTGCTGGGTCCAGGGCACCACCATATCTAAGATGTTCATGCACCAGTGGGTGGACATGTGTATGGAACCAGAAAACATCCATCATTGTGTCAGTGTTCCAGGGGCAGCATCCACTCGTGTCTACTCTAGGCCTTCCTCTGTAATGAGTGTTTGGGAGAGCCTCTGGACAATTGAGAATTTATGGCTTTCTAGGAGTATGGGAAACTACGAAAAACAAAATATTATTCTAAAACAAAAACATTATTAATAAAATAGGTCTATTCCAAGATTTCTTAATATCTTCTGTAACATTCCACTCAGAAGGCAGAAAACCACAAAGTTCTTCCCTAAGGAAAAGTGCAAATGGAATGTAATATTACATTACCAAAAACTCAATTATTTCATTCCCCGCCACATCACTTTTGCTGACGAACTGCTCATATAACATCCTAGGAGGTCTGCTGCCGTGATCTGGGAGCAATGAGCCTTCTCAGTGAGCACAGTGAACGTGCCATGTCTAGACCCATCCTGTGGGTGAGCTGAAAGGACAAGCTCTCAGCACCACACTCAGCCCACTGGAGAAATCATGCACACAACTATTTTCCTGTCAACATCCTCCAACTTAACAATTTTCAAATAGCTACAATTATAATTGAGGTCACATGGACACCGTACCTGGAAGAGCTATACACAAACATTCCCTGTCCACAAACGTTCAGCTTCAGAGCGAACAGTCAAGGGCACAATCACATTTTTAAAAATTAAGAGTGAGAAGCGCAACAGGCACATGCACAATGGCAGAGGATCCTGTTCTTCGCAGAATACTTGAAGGAGCCCTAGCTAAATATACCCCAACTACCGAACATCTTACACTAGTAGTTTCCTATACAAAAGTTAAAAAAAACACCCTACCAAAAAACAACCCTAATCATTATTTCTTTTTTCCTTAATTAACCATTTTACTCTAAGTTTGGCTGGTGAAATCATGAGACTTTCTAGCCTAATGGTCTTGAGACATTTTTCTAGTTGCAAGATGCCTCCCTATGGAGTTTCAATTACTAAGCTCAAAGCAAACTCTGAAATGGATACAGAAATCTGTGAAACAATGACATAGTTCCCAAAATTTTAAAAACAGGAGACTTAAGGCAGATGGTGACACCAAAAAGAGCCAGTCAAGTATTAAAATGGCACTCTGGAAATGGTTCATAGCAAAACCTAATTTTCTACTAGTTTTCATCATATGGGTGAAACTATCCAGTCAGCAGACAACAGATGCGGGCAGCACGATTAGGCCACACCAAGGCAACTTCCAGGAAAGTGACTTCTGGGGCCATGTGGCTTGCACTCATCCACAGCAAGACAGACTGGTCCCTCAACCTCACTGCGTACCTGGGAAAAGATAGTAAAAGTACTTCCATAAGAGGTAAAGACTAACAGGAACCTATAAGCTCACCCTGGAAAGATGTGAAAATGTAACGGAAAAGGAGCACCATGTGCTGATTTTAACAGCTTTTTTACTGGAGGAATTTATTGGTCATGTACACACCATAGGAAAATTATCCCCCCCCACCCCAAAGGTAATGCAGAAAAATTAGATTCATAAGAGAAGTATACGTACAAAGTAGGCAAAAATATGGTGCATGTTTTTGAAACAGAAAATATGAAAATAATTTCACTGTGAAATGCCTTGATTTGCGAGTTGGTACTTAGATTAACCAGATCCAACTGCTCTAATAAATCTCTAGTATATATGTTTTAGAATAACTATTTTTAAAAAAATACCTATTTTTAAGCCAAAACATAAAATCTGTATTTGTGCACCCATGTGTAAGTTATCCTCCTTGGTATCTTCATAGATCCAAGATGCTAAGAGATTAACAAAGTAATTTTTAAAAAATATCTCAAGCCACAGATTAACAAATATACTTCCTCAAGTTTTCTGGGTTACCCTACTAAAAATAACTTATAATAATGTACTCTGGATTTTCAGATATAAATACCAGTCAATGGTTGGTTGGCCATTACATGACAAGTATAATTATCCTTAGAACTAGGTCATAGTATATAGAATGCCTTAACTTTTCTTAGTTCAAACCCTGTAATTTGACCCTAAAATTCGTAAGCATACCCTTTTCTGTGCTTTAAGCAGACACACTGACTTTGCAGTCTATACTTTGTAAGAGAGCAGGTAACTCTAGCACGGAAGAAACTATATAATGCGGCCTGGGGGATGACTTCAACGGCACCATTCCATTTTTATTTATCCAGACTGTTGCCTTCAGCCCTGCATTGAGGCCTCCTTGTATATCGGTTTCTAGTGTGTCACCAACCATCACACAGTCCCCAGGCTGTACTCCAAGGAGATCACAGGAGTAATAAAATATGGAAGGTGCCGGTTTCTCCTCTTTCTGCTCTCCACCTACAACAATAGCGTCAAAATAGGACTGACAGGCACAAGCCTTGATCTTCTCCCTCTGGGTCTGCTGTTCTCCATTTGTTAATAAAAGTAGGCGGACCTCCTTTCGAAGTTCAGTGAGCATGGCTTTGACATCTTCTGCTAGTGTCATATGCTGTAAACGTGTAGATTTCCACAGGAAATAACATTCTTCAGCTAATTTCCTATTGGCCGCACCACCTTTTATTTCCTGGATTGCTTCTTCCCAGTGTGAAGTCCTGAGGTCAGTAATGCAGCTTTTAGAAGGATGAAAACATTCCTTGCTGAGCTTAACTTGAACTTTGTTACAGATGATTTCAGCCTCTTCTTTGTAATGGTATTTTGATTGTAAGAGCTTTATCACCTAAATAAAGGAAAATAACTCCATCAACATACTTCATGTCTTTAATACTTATCCTGTGAGCCTATAAACCCAGAGCACAGACAGATTCTAACTCCACTCCTTTGTCTTAAGGAAGCTCTATTACCACACCATTTCTGTTGGGAATTGGTCTTATTTTTAAAGAACACAAGAGTGAAGATTTCCCAACCTTTCTAGACAACTCATTCATATTTTTTTACCAATTTTTTCTAAGAAGATTCTTTATATATATATATATATATATATATATATATATATATATATATAAAAATAAGAATCCCTCATTTGTCAGTTTAAGTCTACCACCTTTCATTCTGGTCATGAAGACATGAAAATAAAACTGTGCTTATATTTAGTAAAACATAAAATTTCTAACAACTGATATTTAGACTCTTCCCAGAAATAACGCTAGTTCACCTAACCTTTCCTCATCTTATCCATTTTACGTTCTGAAGGCCTAAATTAGGTCCTAAAGGGGACCTAATTCTGTACTTTTAAAAACAGGTATATGTAGCTCTAATGGAATCAGGCACGTTCTGTGACCTCAGCAGTTTAATGATGGTGCTTCTTCCAAACTTAGGATTCCAGATAAAAAACTTCAAGTAGTTCTGAGTCTCCCTCTTTGTCACACTGGTTCTGAATCCCTTATCATAATCTTTCTTATGTTCCCACAGCTCTTTATCTTGACTTTTTATGAGATTAGGTTCTTATCCCTTTGGCCTATCTTCTTACCAAGATGCTAATGTGGCAAAGCATTATGCCCAGTACTCACATATATTATTTCGAATCTTTCCTGCAACTCTGCAAGGGAATTTCCTTTCTGAGATGAGGGAATGGAAGTTTAGACCTGATAAATAACTTGCCCTAGCTGAGATTTAAGCCCATACTTGCCTAACTCCACAGGCCACATGCTTGCGTTTATACTATGTATTCGGCACTGGAGACTGGACCCTTTGTCCTCATGAACTTATCTGGTGCGGAAAATAACCACCACAAATGCTGGGTTGAGTGCCTTGACAGTCACACAAAAAACTGGAAATAAAATGTAAGGAGCAACCCCAGGGTTGTCGGGTAAGGAGGGCAGAGGAAGGAACATTTAAACCAAGGCGTTACCAAGCCCAAAGGTGGGGATGGGAGGAGGATAAAATCATTCTGACAGAAGGAACAGCACAAAGACACAGTACTTGAAATTCTGTGAACTGGGAAAGGCAAGAAGCTGAGCTCAGCCACAGTGGAAGGCAAGTGAGGGCGAGTGCTAGAGATGAGGCTGGGTAGGCTGTAGCTACCGAAATTCCCTTGGCACACCTTATGTCCATACACGCCAAAGGCTTCATACTGCAAGTGCTTGGGCTTCTCTGCCTGGGAGCTTTATCTCGCCATAGGGGCACCCATGCACATAGGCTGGAGCCAGAGTATAGCCCAAGAAGCAGGTCTCAACCAATAAGCAGCAGATATTGGTGGGTTGCCCCTTGGAAGGGACAAGTAAAGTATGTCTACATGTGTCTCCCAGAGTCCCCAACCGTTCACACAGTTCCCTGCTCATGAACACAGACTGTATTAGATTCCTTCCCTTCCCTGTCTGACTCCACCACTCCCTACAGTGCTTCCTAGGGTCACCTTCCAAGTGAACTGCTTGCAGTTGAAGCCGCCTGTCCCAGGGACATCTGGGAAAGTCGATCATGCCAAGGCAATTTTGGATCTTTGAGGATGAGGGCAATGCACACAGCTGGGGCTAAAGATTTTCTGTTGTTGAAGTGAAGCAGTCAAAGTCAAGTTAAATTGTTACCCTAAACTTTATAGGGAATAAATGATCTGCTACTCACACCAGACACTCAATTCACCTACCGAAAAGGGGAAAGAGCTGAAGAGACACATTCTTCCTCAAGCTATTTGTGTTAATCACAAAACATAATAGTTAAGAAAAGTCTTACTAGTCAGAGAAAAATAAACCAGCCCTAAGAATTTTAGGTGAAGGGAAAACTTTGAAATTTCTTGCTTTATAAAGTTAAAATTCAATGAACAAATCAAGCCTTTTCAATCTCCATAGTTATGTCACCATCTTTTCTAGCAATATCAACTAAATTACTCCTGAGCTATGATTGAAGGTCACTATACAGTTTTAGCAACTCTACTGCTACACAATAAAAGGACACAGGCCTCTAGGACTCCACAGTACTTGCGATTCAACAGGAACTGGCTCACAGTTCATAAATGAAAGCTCCCAATAAAGATCCAGTTTCCTATAAACTGCAATTGGCAGTTTGTTAAGCACATTCTTGGGATCTGAAAAAGCAGATTAGCTCACCTTAAAGGGGAGATTCTTGTAGAAGTATATTGCTCCCAAGTTTCAAAACTGCCTCCCATTACATTCCCTGAATTAACTTTGCCATTTCGTCACACAGAAACTAATTACATATTCATTTGGAACAACAAGTGGCATTTTAATAATATTAACAGCTTTGGGAAAGAAGTTTATCAGTCGTTCACATATTAATATTAGTTCAAACAGAAATAATACCTAAGGTGAATTAGTCCACATTACTGGTGCAAACTCTCCTAACACCTGCACTGAGAGAATGGGAGTCTAAATTTAATTGGGGATGGAGGGAAAAGATCTCTAATTTAGAGGTGTGATGACATTCTGCATAAGGGTAAGTCAGGCCTGAAAAGGATTCTGAGTAGAATGAGCCCACTAGGCACGTACAGGCCTGAAGAAGGGAGAGCTAAGACAGTGAGAGAGGGGAGATCAATTTCTAGACACAATATAAACTCAAATTCCATCTACTTCAAAACTCTATTTAAGGCTCTATCGCAACACATACAAAAAGGAAACTCTGTCCTACTTCCTACTTTCTGGACCCAGACTTAAATACCATTAGTACTAGTGTTTAGCTGTGATTTAAAAAGACTTTTTGAGGGCCAGTGTGGGAACCATATAACACATATGATAAAGATATGAAGTGGCTGAATTCTAAATAAAACTATTTTAAAAAATACATGCTCACAAAACATGATGGCTGCATACAGACTAACAATTCAAGCAGCCCTCCTGTTATTTATTTTTTTTGTGGTACGCGGGCCTCTCACTGCTGTGGTCTCTCCCATTGCGGAGCACAGGCTCCGGACGCGCAGGCTCAGCAGCCATGGCTCACGGGCCCAGCCGCTCCGCGGCATGTGGGATCTTCCCGGACCGGGGCACGAACCCGTGTCCCCTGCATCGGCAGGCGGACTCTCAACCACTGCGCCACCAGGGAAGCCCCCTCCTGTTATTTTTAGTTCAAGTCTTTGTTCAAACATCATCTACTCTATGTGGCCTAATCTGACCAACCTATTTTAAAAATGCAATTCTTTCTCCCCTCCACTTTTTCTGACACACTTATAAATAAAAGCACATTTATTACGTTCACTGTCATACCCATTAGAAAGCAAACTCAAAAATGCAGAAATCTTTTTTGCTTTGTTCTCTGAGAAACCCCAATTTTCTGGAGAAGCCTTCTTCTTGAGTAGTGACACTGAAAGAGGGTGGAAATAGCTTTCCCAGATGATTTAAAAGTAAATTAAAGCTGATAGCCAATATTTTGTAATAACTATAAATGGAAAGTAACCTTTAAAAATTGTATATATATAAAAAAAGAGGCTGAAAAAAGAAAAAAATTAAAGTGATATATAGTCATTATGACTCCTTTTCCTCAAGCCCAAGGCAATGGCTGGACCTTTCCCCCTCCCTCCTTTCATAAATCATTCAGTGATTCAGAAAGCTGGCATGTTACTTTTGAATAGGCTAACATTTGTGGGTGTTGTATTCTTATGTGATAAAGCGATCCTAGATCCTCGTATAGTTAATTCTGCACATTTCATAGGATATTTATAAAGCAAATGGTAAGAGAACCAAGTCTGGAGAACTGGACTTTTACCCATCCATTCAACATTCATCCTGTGTCAAACACAGGGTGATGAATAAGACAGTTTGTTCCCTCTTAAGAAGCTCACCATTTAGCTGTGGGCATGTGAGTTGGAATGTGGAGGATGAACTGGACATGGTAAGTCTGGCATCAAGACCATAGTAACAGTCTTGGTGAGAGACAAGTCCAGCTTTAACTAAGACAAGGGCAGAAGGGATGTGCAGGAGAGGACACACTTGGTGACAGAGTGGACGGTGGTATAATTCTGGAACACTGGACTGTATGTACTTCCCATGCATTACATTAAACCTAGCTGATAGGGTTTTTGAGAACTAATTTCACTATTCAAATATCACTATTTAAAGATTTGAGGCTTAGAGCAGTTAACTAACTTGTTCGGGTGCTTTCACCTAGGTATTGGGAGAGCTGTGATTCAATCTCAACTGTCTAATTTTAAAGCCTAAACTCTTGGCCTATAGCAAGGATTGGAATAAAACAAGAACTTAATGACAACACACTGGACTTGGCCTGCCAAAAACACACAGGTAAATATGTACAGTTTGCAGCTAGAGATATTGGAGACAATATAGCAGGGGATGGTGCCCCTGAGGTCAAGATCAAAGGCATGAAGGGACAGTCAACAGTGTATAATACTTCGGTAAAGTCATTAAGACAGACTTAAAATGTCCAGGATTCTGGCAATTTGAGAGGTGCCTATAGATGGTGAGTTTATTTCATTCTAGTGGCAAAAACAAAAAAAACACACTACAGTGGTTTTGGGAATACACAGGAAGTAGAAACATGGAGATAATGGTATAGATTTCTCTTGAAAAACATGGCTGTCAAGAGAGGTAATATCTTGTGGAGGAATAAGGGTCCAAGGGAAGCGTTCTTTTTAAAGTACTGGGCATTTTAAAAGATTCTGCATGAATTATTCACATTTGCTTATTTTTTTTTAAGCTCAAAAATTGACATAGGTTTGTTGGCCTTTTTTTATTTTTTGAAATAATTGTATAAAATAATCGTTAACATTTTTCCAATTCATATTTTGGAGAATCATTCTGCTAAATTGTTATACACAGTATCTCAATTAATTCCCCAAAACAGCCTTTTAAAGTTGGCCCTAGTGTCGTATTGTAATACAGATGAGAAACTGAGGCACTGAGTTGAATTATTTGCCCGAGATCTCAGAGAAAATTGTGGAGCCAAGATTCAAACCCAAGAAATGTGCAAGCTGACTATTTATGATTAAACACTGATTATATTGCTTATGGAGTATCATAAGAGAGTGTAAAGACATCTTTATCAAACAAATAAAAACAGAGTATTGGACGGGCTTCCCTGGTGGCGCAGTGGTTGAGAGTCCGCCTGCCGATGCAGGGGACACGGGTTCATGCCCCGGTCCGGGAGGATCCCACATGCCGCGGAGCGGCTGGGCCCGCGAGCCATGGCCGCTGAGCCTGCGCGTCCAAAGCCTGTGCTCCACAACGGGAGAGGCTACGACAGTGAGAGGCCCGCATACCGCAAAAAAAAAAAAATAGAGTATTGGACAGATCCGAAAATGCAGCAGGTGTGGAATGCACCGAGAAAGAGGACGAAGAGGCTGAAGATCCAGGGAGACACAACCTAACTAATGAAGCATGAAGAGAACGGGACACTCAGGGCTGAAAGGATTTAGCTTCTGAAAGTGGGTTTTTCAGATCTGGTAATCCTTAGTTTTCTCTTTAAAGCTGAATGCAGACGAAAGAAAGCAGGGGTGGCTTCGGGTCTTGAACAGCACTGGAAAGGTCTGAAAGAGCATCAGTAGGTACAGAAAGGGGAGGATGCGGCGGAGCAAGGCCTCGTGAAGGTAAACCTACTGAGGGTCACACCCACGGCAGGAACACCTGCGGAGAAAACTCCCTCGAGTCGATAAAGTCCAGGCTCAAAGGTCCAACGAAGAGCACGCGGTGGGAGACCAGCCTCCCGCGGTCAGTCCCGGAGAGCCGGGTGCCCGCTCGTCCCGGCGGGTCCAAACCTGTCCCGGCAGAAAGCCAGGCGCCTGGCGCGCGCCCGCCCTTCTGTGCGGAGGCGACTCTGCCCTTGTGGCAGTTTGGCGACATCCTTCCGGAAGCCCGAGCGCTGGGAGCGCCCTCAGGTCGCAGACTCCCCGCTCTCTGAGAGAGGCCGCCGCCGCGGGCCGGCACGAAGGGCCTCCGGGACCAGGGTCGCCGCCGCGGAGGGAGCCGACAGGGCAGTGGGCCGGCGGCCCAAGGGGGCGAGAGAGCGCGCGGGGCGGGGCGCCGGGCTCGCCAGAGGGAAGCAGTAGCCGGAACGTTACCTCCAACATGCCTTTCCGACTCGCCCCGGCCGTGTCGATGAGCGTGTTGTCCAAGTCGAAGAAGACAGCCCGCACCCGGCTCAGCCCCATGCCGCCGCCGCCCGCGCGACGCGCCAACTCGTAGCCGCCGCGCGCGCCTGCGCGAAACGGGCCGGCGAACGGGAAATACCGGGGCGCAGCCGCGAGGCCGCCCGACCCTTGCCCACCGGCGGGGAACTCCCGCGAGATATCCCCATACCTGAGTGGCGCGGAACAGCGACGTCCCGCGAGACTCCGGAATCGTGGTCCTAGGGAGGGCCGGGGACGCGCCGCCGTCATGATGCTAGCGGTTGTCTGAGTCGCTGACGTGTAGGGGGTGGTCGGAAGCGCGGCTTCCTTCTTGGTGCCTCTCTGTGCTTATCTCGTTTCTCATTTTGCCCTCCTTGCGTGAGGAGGACGTCGTGACTGCCCCCGGGAGGTTTTCTGCGCCTTGTGGCGACAGGGAGGAGACAGAACAAGGGACTTTTCCGGTCGGACCGGGTGTCCTGGCCCACGCAGCTCAGGCGGCTTCCGAGCGTGGCCGGGTCGGGTGTGTGTGTGTGGTTACGAGTCTGCGGCCCCGCTGGATGGCAGGAGCCGGCTCAAAGCTGGGGGACGTGTTGGAAAGGTGTATCCTGGATTTTGGAGCCGTTGTTTGACGGCTCTGCCTGAAGACCGAGGGCTCCGTAGTGTCTGCCCGATGTTTTGTCCACCGATTTGATGGCTTTTCCTGAAGCCTTGCATTTTCCGGTCGCTGGGTGTCTTTTTTACTTGGATGATTTTCAGGTATAGCCAGAGGCTGAGGTACCTAGAGAGTCTGTTAAACCTGCAGAAGGTCACTAACAGTTGTTTGCTTTCTGCTGTTAGCAGAATAAGGATCGTGGAACTAATCTCTAATCTTCTGTCCAATTGTCTCTGTACCGAAATTTGGACATGTGGTCATCATCAGTGACCAGAAATTGTCTATCAGGTAGAACAGGGCCAACGGCCAAATCTGGCCTGCCACCAGATTTTGTCGGATCTGTGAGCAGGGTGGTTGTTAACATTTTTTAAAATAATTGAGAAAAGAATCAAAAGAAGTGTATTCATGACACGTGAAAATTATATGAAATTCAAATTTTAGTGTACATAAATAGTATTTATGTATTGTCTTTTGCTGCTTTTACCATACAATAGCAGAGTTGCATAGTTACAAGTGAGACCATATGGCCTGCAAAGCCTAAAATATTTACTATCTGGCACTTTGTAGAAAAAAATCTGCCCACCCCTGAGATACATGATTAACAGTTGGGCTGCTGGTGTTCAGTACCATCAGATCAGTTGTCTTTTTGTTAATAGGTTTTTATTCTGCAGTGGCAGACTACAGTTTCCATGTTTTGGAGCAGAATCGCAGGTGACCTCTCTTTGCTACTGTGGAAAATAAATGAATACCCATGCCTCAAAAACATGACTGTTGATGTGCAGGGCTAGTCTATCAATTTTGGTCATTTAGATTAGCAATCGGCCGAAATTATGAGTGCATTAATTAGAGTTACTTTTTTTAATTGCCTGAATTGTAAGAATAAATTTAGCATAAAACTGCATATGGGCACATGAAGTCTATAGGATTGCAACCGTTTTTTGTTTGTTTGTTTTTGACCACACTGTGAGGCATGTGGGATCTTACTTCCCCGACCAGGGATTGAACCTGTGCCCCCTGCATTGGGAGCGTGGAGCCTTAACCACTGGACCTCCAGGGAAGTCCGTATCCTTTTTCTGATGTGCATATAGTTTATTGAGTTAGGCACAAATCCAAAGTCAGAGAAGGTGCAGCAGTCTGCATGTATAATCAGTCCTCTTGACTTAATGGGTTGGGTGTTTGACAGGTTTCTTTTTGTGACAAGTACTCTAATGGCATTCCATGACCTGTCCAACTTGGCTGCTTGAAGGGAGGTGATGGCCAGGCACAGTACACTGACAACTTTAGTTCCTTCTAATTAAATGTCTCCAGGCTTTAGGTTGTTGCAGTTGATGTTTGTGAACCAGTGAATTTTCCTGTATGCTTTTAAGGTGGTGAAATGTACAGGCTCCTCATTATAAATGAGCCTCAGGTTATTAGTACGTTACTTAACTGGTCAGCTTGACAGATTTAACACTACTACCTAGATATTTTTGTATTTCCAGGAAGCAAGGTCTAAATAAAAGATTGGTAATTGTGAGACTTGGTCAAGGAACACAAAGTGAAAACTAAACTGCAACACTTGTCTCTCCTGCGTCCTGCAGCATGGCACCATTGCTGTGCAACTGCTGCTACCCAACATTGATCCTGTCTTGTCCTACCCTAGGGAAAGTCTTTCCCAGACCCTTCCCACCCTCCTCTCCTGTACAAGTTCATTACAACTCCATGACTTCAAAAGAGAGGCTTGCCCTGTGGTTTAAACTTTAAAGGTTTTCTCAGAATGGGGCATTGCTCAGTTGAGGGGCAAGATGGAAACAACCAGAAGAGAATTTCACAGGCTCCCACTACATCTACCCAGCTATCATCAGCTATAACCACCTACGCTGCCTGATAACCTTAAATGAGCCACCTCTGCTGCCTTCTGTGGCTAGCCCTTTCAGCTGTTTACTAGATTCCTGCCCCTACTTGAGGACATCTTTTCAGCAATTCTTTCCTCCTCTCTTTTAAATCAAAATTTTCCCATCTGTTGGATACACCCCTCTCACTCCCAATACTTTATTGAAAGTACTCTTGCCAAGTCACCAGTGACCTTCAGCTTGCTAAATCCAATAGCATTTCTGGCCCCATCTTCCTTCTCTTAATCAGCAACATTTCACGTAGCTCATCCTTTTCCCCGCCTTGGCTTTCAAATTTTCTTTTCTGCTCCTGACTACTCTTCACAGTCTCCTTTGCTGGTTCCCCCTCATCTCACTGACTTTCTGTGGTTCAGTGGCTCCAGGGCTGCCTAACTACACTCACTGCCTTGGAGAATCTCATTCATTCACTTGCATGACTTTGAATACCATCTATATATTATATGCTGATGACTCATAAAATGCTATCTCCTCTGATCCCTTGAGAATTAGCTTGGCCAAAGAATAGAAAAATAAAGCCAATAAACATTTGAGAGGTGGTTAATCACACTTGTATTTTAAGAAATGCAAATCCAAACTACAGTATGATGTCATTGTTAACATATAGGATAAGCAAAAGTTAAATGTCTAGGGCCTCCCTGGTGGTGCAGTGGTTAAGAATCTGCCTGCCAATGCAGGGGACACGGGTTCCAGCCCTGGTCCAGGAAGATCCCACATGCTGTGGAACAACTAAGCCCGTGCGCCACAACTACTGAGCCTGCGCACCTAGAGCCTGTGCTCCACAACAAGAGAAGACACCACAGTGAGAAACCTGTGCAAGGAAGAGTAGCCCCTGCTCTCCACAACTAGAGAAAGCCTGCACACAGCAATGAAGACCCAACGCAGCCAAAAATAAAATAAATAAATAAATTTATTTTAAAAAGTTAAATGTCTAAGTTATACCTCAATATTATTAAAACAAAACAAAAACTAAAAACAGCTTGCTGTACAACCTGGTCCATCTGATCCCATATATGTTACATAAAGTAAAAATTATTCTAGGAATTCCCTGGTGGCACAATGATTAAGAATCCGCCTGCCAATGCTAGGGACACGGGTTCGATCCCTGGTCTGGGAAGATCCCACATACTGCGGAGCAACTAAGCCCATGTGCCACAACTACTGAGCCCGTGTGCCACAGTACTGAAGCCCACACGCCTAAAGCCCTGTGCCCTGCAACAAGAGAAGCCAATGCAATGAGAAGCCCGCACACCGCAATGAAGAGTAGCCCCTGCTCACCGCAACTAGAGAAAGCCTGCGCACAGCAACGAAGACCCAATGCAGCCAAAAATAAATAAATTTATTTAAAAAATTATTCTAACTCATTAACACATGATTTTTTTCCTCTGCAAAATGGAGATTCCAATCCTAACTTGCAGGCTGGTTGAGAGGGTAAAATATGGCAATGATTACCTGGGACAGGACAGTTGCTCTGTAAATGCTAACAATCATTTCCCACAAGACCCTGTCTATACCAGGAGTGCATCAGCCTGAATAAAGTGCTGAGAGAAGGAGTGCTGGGACGATGTTGCAAGTGTCCTGAATGAGGGCATAAGATCTGGGGAATATTCCTTGTGAAGAGGCCTAGTTGACCGAGAACCAGCTGAGGCTCTGAGCCCCAGATGGGACAGTGCAGGTCACGAGATGTCAGACATGAGCAAAGGACACCCACCATTGTATAGAACAGAGAAGGCACTACAGGAAGGCAACAGGTTAGGAGTACCCACCAGAGGCTGGGCTGTCCTCCCTTTCCCTAGCAGAGAGTCCTCTCTTGGGTGGGCAAGGCATTGGAGGAAGTAGAGCTAGAGGCTAAAAAAGGGTGTGATCCTGAGAATGTCCCTGGAAATTCCCAAGCCTGGGGAATGGCCTCCTCTTGTTTTAAAAAAAAAGAAAGTATTAGTCCTGTCAGAGAAGAAAAGAACTATGGGCAGCTTCCTAAGAATAGGCCCAGGGTGTAGGTATCAGAACACAGCCTATCCTGACATGATACTGACTCTGAGCAGAAAGTTTGTCCTCTTTGTGCCTCTGGAATAATGAGGTTTTACTATTAGTAATATTTAACACTTATTGAGCATTTAATATACACCATAGATGGTTCCCAGTGTCATACAAGATTTCCTCATTCAATCCTCACAACGATCCTATTAAGTGGTTATTTTTTTACCCATCTTTTTCAGATGAGGAAACTGAGAGTTTAAATACGTTTCTCAAAGTGATGGAGCCTAGGTCTGAAGTCTCACTGTAAAGGCCATGCTCTTAAACCAGTTGGCCCAGAGTTTCTGCCCAGCCCAATCTTTGAACTTTTGCAACTTGCCTCCCAGCCTGGGGGCTTGAGAACAGTTCCCCCTTCCACCTGTTGGGAAGGTGTTTCCAGCTTGGCACCTGTCGACTTAAAAAATATTCACAACAGTTCTTCCCTGGTGGCGCAGTGATTGAGAGTCTGCCTGCCGATGCAGGGGACACGGGTTCATGCCCCGGTCCGGGAAGATCCCACATGCCGCGGAGCGGCTGGGCCCGTGAGCCATGGCCACTGAGCCTGCGTGTCCGGAGCCTGTGCTCCGCAACGGGAGAGGCCACAACAGTGAGA